GGGAAATTGGCGTATGGTGCCAGACAGCCCTCCCCACCATGATGCCCCTGCCGACCCTTTAGTCTGACCACGCTCCAGCGAGAGACGTCAGCGGAGGAATATCATAGTGAAGTCTCTACGAGCACTGACACACAGTTAATAGTATTCTGCTCATGTGTGCTATAGTGAACAGACCGAGGCAGAGAAGCACCGTGTGTGCACATGACCATCAAATTTTAGGTCGGAAGAGACAATTTATATTTTATTGACTACATTTCCAGCTATTTTGGTCTAAAATTTGCGAATCCCTTGACAATTCTCCACAGCTCCCGGTTTAGTGACAAAAAGTCCACATATTCCTTTTGAATTGCCAGAACTTATCATACTGATAAGGTAGAACTTTAACCTACTTTCCTGGTTGGAGTTTGACCCACATCACACCACGGCTCGGCCCTATAGCTGTCCTCACAGAGCGAAAAGCACGGGGTGAAGTGCCATGGTTACTATGACTTTAGTGTTCCTGATATAGTTACTGTTTATCAGTTAGTGTATCAGAGACGTAGCTTATTTATAGTAATGTTTCATGATTTCAGTCAAACCCATTTCATAATAATACATAACCGAGATCTAACAGGATGACATGTCTAGAGATTAAAGTGCATCAGTCGTGGTCAAAACGACTTGGCAACACATTAAAGAGAAGAAAAGTCCATTTTAAAGATTGTGTTAAAATGTCAGAAAATGTACAGATAAAAAGCGATTCAACATTTTCTTATTAAGTCTTTGTCTTCCTTCTTCCAAATGCCGCAGCCATGTTTCTGTCCGGGCTAAATTAGAAATGAAGTTGCATAGCATTCTCTATACAGCGCAATCAGATAAAGCTGTTTATTTTACATTGACAGTTTTTAGGAAAACAACCTAAAAAAAAAGTGAGTTTTCTGGATATTTCGAATATGTTTTTTGATCGCTCCACATACAAAGCGTGTATATTAAAAGTGATGCATTGTTGGTACAGTATATAGTTTGTTGAATACGTTTACTCCCATTTGCCTCACTCCCACCTTGTTTGATTGCTGTCCCCTGTCCTCGCCTCTTCCAGACTGTAAGTTCGTTAGAGAAGGGTCCTCTTCAACCTACTGTTACTGTGACATTTTGTAATTGTCTAATTTTTTGTTAAATTTTCCTTTTTTATAACACTGTAAAACGCTGCGGAATATGTTGGCGCTATATACATACCAATAATAATAAGTTACACAATGAAAACAAAAATGCAGAATAAGGATTATTTTTTAATACAAAGTAGAATTTAACAAGAACTTTGAGTGTTTGAATAATGATAAAGTGTCAGCCGGGATCAGCAGAACACAGAGGTACCTTCTCACTCTTGCAGACTTTCCTCCTTATGCCTCCAGGTAAAACAGCAAAAAATAGGGCACATAGACAGCGAGTTCATGTTACGGCAGTTATATGTATACATATAGCGTATCAAAAGAAAGCCCTATTTCTCCTGTAAAATATGATATATAATATGTATGGGTGCACTTTGTGGTAGAAACTGCCAAAAAGTGCCAAAAATCCTTGGTCACACTAGCGTCACATCTCAAAATGGGGGTAAGGACATTGTGCACTGACAAAGGGGAAACCTGAAATGTTTGTATATACTTTGTGTCTGTTAAAAAAAAAAAATCATGTGTGTGCGGATGCGTGTGCATTTTTGCATTCTGCCTTCATTTTTTTTGTTTAAATTGTGTCCAAAATACTAGTGCATGGGGTAGACTCTGAATCACCTGAATTTATTGTAAAGGCATTAGGGAGGGCATAGGGTAAACCATGGAATCGGGCAGAAAAGTAAAAGTAACAATAACATTACAATCAGTAGAGAATGAATAATATGATAAATATAAATTATCCTGGAGAGAGTCTACTTTACAATCACCCCAGGGGCAGAAAACGCTCCCCTCCTCGCTGCTGATTTAAATAACTGTGTTATCTTCCCTAATATTGATTATACCTGGAAATGTTTTTTTCTACTACTGATATTCATTGGAAGACTGATTACCTTGACCACAGAACACACATGAATTGCCAAAAATAGAATATAAACGTGTGGCGGGGGAGCGTGGGGGGCACTATATGAAATCATAAATAATGTTATTGTTATATACAGTATGTGTGACAAGAATGTAAAGGAAATGCTTCTGTATAGGAATTCTCCTTTAGACGTCCCATCATTAGACGTAAAATTACTGCAATAAGGAAAGGCAGCAGTCTTAATATTTTCTCTGAGTTGTTCCCCCCAGTAAATACTGAAATAGGATTACCGGCAGCGAAGGAACGAGAAAGTGACAGCACCTCTTTAAATGTCTTTTTTTTCATATTTGCAGGACACGGTTGCTATTTTGTAACAATTGTATTTTATAAAAAAACTGTGAGATTATGTAGGTCAGGGGTGTCAAATTAATTTGTTCTGAAGGGCCAAACTGTCCACTGAAATAAGTGTGGAGGGGCGAACGCATAAAATGTATATATACACATACCACAAGAAAAAGAGTGTGTGCCTGCTCCTGCCTCCTCGCACAGCTCTCAAAAAGCTGAACATCTTCCCAGCAGGCTGCGAGGGGACAGGGGCCCGGGTGCCTCATTAATAACATATCAGACCGGGCCCCAGTCCCCTCCGCTAAGAGCGCTCACAAGCACCACAATGACCCAATGGAACCCACCACTGCTCTCACTGGCAAGCCACCTCCACCAAATTACTAGACACGTGCAATTCATTTTGTTCCGAATGCAAATTTGGACGAATTTCGGAAATTTGGACATTCGGATGCTTCCGAATGTCCGAAGTGCCGAATTTTGACAAAGTGACGAATTTTGGAATGCCGAACCGAATTGCCAAAGTGCAGAATTTCCGAATTCCCGAAGTGCTTCGGATTTCTGAAAAGTGTCAAAATAGGGTTGGGGTAGGGTTAGTGGTTGGGGTAGAGGTAGGGTTAGGTTAAGTGGTAGGGTTAGGGGTAGGGTTAAGGGTTGGTGTACACAATGTAACATATAATATAAACACATATAGTAGGCTACCTTCATAATATCATCCGTCTAGGTGGCACCCAAGTCCAGAAGCTTTAGAAGCCACAGCACCCCTGGCAGAGTAAGAAGTAAAAACAGAAGCAGACCCAAACTGGCCATCAGGCGCACCGGGTCACAGGGATACATATTATTTAAAAAAAAAACTGCCTCCCCCCAACACACAATCCCTCCAAACACACACACCACACCCCTCACCCTCACACAACACCCTCACTAACACACAACACCGTCACACACACTGCACACCTCACACACAGCATTCTCACTCACACACACAGCGCCCTCACAGACACACTGCACACCTCACACACAGCACCCTCACACAGAGACACACTGCGCAACTCACACACAGCACCCTCGCACACACATTCGGCAACCACACACACAGCATCCTCAAACACACACACACACACTGCACCCCCACACATACTATACTCCTCACAAATACACACTACACCTCTCACACATACACACTACACCCTTCACACACACACTGCACACCTTACACTCACACACACACACAATACTTCCAAACATATATGTATATTCGATGGCGCTATATAAATAACATAATTTAGATTAGATCCCTTACTCAACTCTGGACCATTTACACATATACACACACTAGATCCCTAAATACACTCTGAATCCTCTACACACACACACACTAGACTAGATCTTCTATACACAGTCTGGGTCCTTCAAACACACACTAGATCCCCTACACACACACACACACACACACACTTCACCACCTACACACACACTACATTTCTTTTTTTTATTTTAATTTCTTTATTTTTTTGTGCATGGCATTAACAATCTTGCATATAGTGCCACAACAGCTCACGGATGCCGAACTTCAGTAACATTGTTACAACATAGTAATTAATTTTGCTGAAACCACGAACCTAGGAGATAGACCCAGCCCTAAGGGTCCTATGTAAGGAAGCAGTGGTCGTGTCATACAAATAAACAATAAAGTGGTCAGTCGGGGGTGTTGTTTGTTAAATTACACTCAATTACACCGGGAGGTGTGGGGGGGGGGAGGGGGCAATCTCCGGTTACTGTTCCTCTTATTATAAATTAGGACAGGTCGTAAAAGGTGTGTTGGCACCTGGGATCAACAGTGTAAATTAAGAGCCGGGGGCTCTAACAGTGCTGAGTGATACTCTAAAATAACGAGAAAGCAAAATAACAATAGTTAACAAGCAACTGGGACTGGTGTAGGAGTTAGTCCATCTCCATGTGGCTACGGGTGAATCTTCAGTGTCAGCCGGTGGCAGCTGCAGAGCGTGGGGTAAAAGGGACAATCCTGTGTACGTCCCAGCTGTGACCTGGACGTGTCGTGCTGTCTGAAGACAGGGTAAGGCCCAGTCCCTGAAGAAAAGCAGTGGAGTCCTCTGCAGTGGGAAGCTGATGTGTGCTTCTGTCTTTGTGGACTATTAGGGCTCGAGAGGGGCTCTACTTGTAGCTGATGATTGCAGAGCGCAGGGTCTTTGTCACATGTTGAAAGGACTGTCTCCATTCCAGGGTGGAGCAGCATAAGTCCTGCAAGAATTGAAGTTGCATCTCCTCGAACTGTAAGGGTGTTCTGGATTTCATTGCTTCCTGCAGGGCCATCTTGTCGCGAAGCAGTGGGAAACGTATCACAATGTTTTGGGGAACCCCGGCCGGGGCCCTGTGCGACTTGGCAAGTCTAAAGCAGCCGTCTACCTGAATGCCCTTTGCAGAGCGTTGTGACAGTAGGGTAGCCCATAGTCGGCGTAAAAAATGAGGCAGTTCATGTTCCGTGACTGATTCGGCTATGCCCCTGATTTTGAGGTTATTGCGCCTCCTCGCATCCTCCTGGGTATCCAGTCCAACCTGCATGCTTTTGTGGGATGCCTGGAGTTGTAGCAGTAGCTCTTTGTTGCCTGTTTGCTTTGTGGCTATGGAGGTGATGGTATCCTCGTTAGCCTGCACTCTGGCTGTCACCACTGTTATGTCCTCACGTATTATATTCATATCAGCATTGAGGAAGGCTCTTATGTTTGTCATCAGAGTTTTGATATCCCCTTTTGTAGCTGGGGCTGTCAGGTCTTCTCCTCTTTGAGGGGTGATTATGCTCTTGGCGCAGGGTATGTCATCGGGTGCATCAAAGACTTCTTCCTTTGAGGAAGTATTATATGCGTCTGTTTGAGGCGCCATTTTTAGCCTAGGCCACGGCTTTAGGAGGTCATATATCTAGCGGGAGCCATTCCCAGTGAGGGTTTTAAGCTTTTTAGCCTTCTTCCCCATTGCGAGCTGAATTGTTGAGCCCGATCCCGGGCAGAATCAGGGTAGGTAAGTGCCCTAAAACCTGTCGTTTGATATGCCAACTGCGGGAGCTTAGCCGACATGCGTCTTCTCTCCTCAGTGTTGAAGCCCCACACACTACATTCCTGACATACACACTCTGGATCCCCTATGCACACACTAGATTCCTATTAAGCAAACACACACTACGTCACCTATACACACACACACTACAGCCTGAATGCACACACTCGCTACATCCCCTACACACACTACGTCACCTATACACACACACTACAGCCTGTATGCACACACTCGCTACATCCCCTATACACACTTTACCCCCTATACACACATATATTACACCACAAACACAACATGACTGAAACCAACCTATTAACACAAAACCACACCACAGTAAGCTCACTCTACACACACGCAAACCCACGAGCAGGTTCCAAACACATGCACCATACGCTTTCCTGGATTTTTGTCTCCTGGTATCCCATTTATGGAGACACCAGAGATAAGGTTCAAGAAAATACAACGCAAGCATGTTATTAAATTTGCTGGCGCTGTGCAGAACAAATACAGGGCCTTTTTCTCATGCTAGAGCTCTTCACAGCATTGCTGTGATTAAAAAATGCCCGGGCCAAGTTTTTGCCCAGCCCGACCCTGGACAGAAGTGTCATTTTCTGCCAGAGACATAAACCACTGGATCCTTCGTGCCAAAGTGGAAACTAAGACTAGAAAATGTGACTTACAGAGATAAAGAGGGGAGCCTTAAAGGGGTGAAAAAGAAAGATCGTATGACCTTCATATTCTCACAAAAACAAAACAGGGCAAAGTTTTGACTTTGCTGGAAATGAAGGACAGAAAACCAATTTGGATAGAGTCTTCTTAGTGTAAGAGATGTTGAAGGAGATATCGTCTAGAGCAGGGGTCCCCAACCCCCAGGCCACAAACAAGCGCTAGTCCGCGAAAGCTTTCATCCGACGGTATAGTATACCTTATTTATATATAAGTTTTTTTGGACCGGCAATAAATTGCTGCAAGATATTTCCCTGGTGCTATAATCTTGTGATCATAGCACCGGGAAATGTGCCTCCCTCTCCCCTGCAGGCTCTGCAGGACCGGAGGGGAGACCAAAGATCTGGCAGGGAGGGAGAGAGAACCTGGGAGAGCTCTAACCTGCAGCTCTGCCGGGTTCTCCTCTTGCGAACTCCGAGCGTTGCCGCAGTTACCACGGTCATGCTCCTGTTGTAGATAATTTACTGCAAACCAATTAGTTTGAATGACTATCTGTTCCTGTCCAAATTAAAGATAATAAAGTTGCGTGCACGCAGAAGTAAATTCACACTGAGACACAAAGTTCAGGTTAATGAAAGAACTTCTGAGAAGTTTAATGGCTTCTGACAGAAAATGGGTGCGCAGACCCTTTTAAAGGCATTATTACATCATTGAAGAAAATCAAGATATAGACAAATAGACATTGTTAATTGGCTTAGGTGCTAAGATGTTAGTAAAATGCCCTCCCCATTCTTAGGTCACTATCCACGTCATGCTTTTCTCCTCCAGGTTTTAGCGCCATTTTGCTAACATGAGGAGCTCACTCGACGGGAGGGGCCTTTTGGCAGCTATCCATTTAGAGCGTAGCTGGCACTTGTTAGTTTCTCAAGGTTAGGTTTCAAGGCTTTTAGTAAATACACATTTTATCAAAGCTATTTCTTGCTGACATGAAAATTCTATGTTCTATAGACAAAGCTTTCTTGTAAAACTATGGGGGCCTCTTAGAGGTATAGCAAGAGGATTTAAAGGGGCCTTACAGATTTATAGAGGCCTAATAATTCTACAACACTCCGAATCTCGCAAGAGTGAAATCTAGCAGCTGCTAGATGCTGCTAGAGTTTACTCTCACAACTGGGACCACCAGGGATTGCAGGAAATGTCCCCCCTCCCAGGCAAAGTTGAGCAGGGAGGGAGGATATCAAAATAATAATAATAATAATTTTTTTTTATTAAAAAAATAAATATATATATTTATTAATCTACCATCCAATGCCACAGCAGTGGTGTATTCTGGTTTTGAGCTGCCCTAGGCATGACAAAACTCAGGCACTCCATCCCCCTCCTCCCTTCCAAATTTCCCTTCCTGACAGACACACACCCTCACTGATGCATACACTCACTGAAAAGACACACATGCATAATCACTGACAGATGCACACTTACTCAGTGTCACACACACACACACACACACACTGGGACACACATATACTCATTGACAGATACACATACACACTCACTGACAAGACACACATGCATAATCACTGACAGATGCACACTTACTCGGTGTCACACACACACACACACACTGGGACACACATATACTCATTGACAGATACACATACACACTCACTGACAAGACACACATGCATAATCACTGACAGATGCACACTTACTCAGTGTCACACACACACACACACACACACACACACACACACACACTGGGACACACATATACTCATTGACAGATACACATACTCACTGACAGGCATATATACACTAAGTGTGAGAAACACACATTCACTGATAGACACACACATTGACAGACATACGCATTCATTGACAGACACACACTCTCAGTAACAGACATGGATACACGCACTGATGCACGCATACACACACTGACAAACACAGATACATACACACTCACTGACAAACAAATACACTCTCAATGATAAACACACATACACACTCACTGACAAATACAAATAGACTCTCAGTGACAGACACACACACTCTTTGGTAGGCACACAGACACACACACATTCACTAACAGACACACATACACACACTCACTAACAGGCACACACACAAACTAATTATCAGGCACACACTAACATACACTCTCACGAACAGACACACACTAACACTCATCAACAGACACACACACTCTCACTGAAACACACTAACACTCACTAACAGACACACATACTCTCACTAACAGACACACACACACTCACTAACAGGCACACACACTCACTAACATACACACACACACACACACACACACTCACTAACATACACACACACTCTCACTAACATACACACACACTCTCACTAACAGACACACACACACTCACTAACAGACACATGCACTCTCACTAACAAACACATGCACTCTCACTAACAAACACACACACACTATTACTAACAGACACACACTCTCACTAACAGACACACTAACACAATCAAATTTTTTTTTTGCTTACATTTTGGTGGTCCCTATGGTCCAGTGGGGTTGCTGCTGGCTGGGCTGACAGGCGGTCAGGGAGACAGGTGCACAATTGACGTGGGCGGCGAGCGGAGCTCTGATCCTCCTGCTCAGCTCCCTCGCCCGCCTCTCAGTGATGCCGGAGCCGGAGCCACGTCACATTCCGGCTCTGGCATCACTGTGGGTTGCACGAAGGAGCTGAGCAGGAAGATCTCACGGGAAAGTGCTGCCTCGCCGCCCACATCAGGAGATGCCGAGGCATTTGCCAGGGTGTTTGGGGGCGGCTTTTTTTGCCTCCCCCCTAAAAGTGCCGCCCAAGGCAAATGTCTTGTCAGCCTCACACTAAATACAGCGTTGCCCCACAGATCCCCAATTATTCTCCCCTCTACACACTGCCTCCGATACACACACACTGCCCTCCATACACACACAGTGCTCCCATACACACTGCATCCCATACACACACACACACACACACACTGCCCCCCATACACACTGCATCCCATACACACACACACACACTGCCTCCCATACACACACACACACTGCCCCCATACACACTGCATCCCATACACACACAAACACACACACCGCCCCCCATACACACTGCATCCCATACACACACACACTGCCTCCCATACACACACACACTGCCCCCATACACACTGCATCCCATACACACACACACTGCCCCCATACACACTGCATCCCTCACACATACAATTGGGTCTTAATTCTGGCTGACGGATATCATTGCCCAAAGTGCGAACATTGCACATTGTCTTAAAGGAGATTAAAGCAGCTCTGTCACGTTTCCATATTTTGCAAAGATCACCAGATGGTGACTTTTCTGCTTGCAGTGAGGTGGTCGGTGGAAACTTACCTGACCCTGTACCCTTGGGGTTACCGCCATCGTCTTCCTGCTCCAGGTGCTTTGTGTGCACAACACAAATATCTATGAAATGCCCTCCGCCATAACTGGTGGTAGTGTATGATAGAACGCTCCACGTGTCTCCAATACTATCACCCTGGTAACAGACTGGTCACTATCACCCTGGTAACAGACTGGTCACTATCACCGTAGTAACAGACTGGTCACTTTCACCCTGGTAACAGACTTGTCACTATCACCCTGGTAACAGACTGGTCACTATCACCCTGGTAACAGACTGGTCATTACACATTTATCACTATTGAGGTGTGAGTGTAGTGCTGTCACTGTGCGGAGGTTTGGGGTGTAAGTATGCGATGCTTTTCTGAATCATGTATGATTTTCCAAGGGTTTGTTTCAATCCTGTTTTAAAGCAATAATTATCTATTACAAATCAAATTTCTGTTCAGTATCTTATTTAATTTAAAACCAATGCTTTAACTCTGTAGAACATTAAGCATTAAGTTAAGAAATAAAAAAAATAAAAATAATTAAGTAAGTTTGGGGGATGTACAGACTAAATATTTGGGAACTATTAAACCACTAAATTGTGGCTACACTTAAATTAGTCAAACAAAATAAGATGTAATATGAAAGGGAGTCTGCGGGATGGAGTTGACCCTCCCTCTCTATTTTTATTAAAGATATATATCGCCATTGCAATAAAAAAAGTGGGGTGAGAGGAGAAAAGCAATTTTTGCAAAGATTTTCAAATACATGAGATTCTCCATTGATGTTGCGCATGAACAATAAGGGGCCAGACTGTAAAAATAGCACTCACTGACTCTTGGCAAGCTATTGAGAAAGTCTCCCACGAGAGACGAAACGCATCTGGTTGCCAAGGTAACAGAGCACGCGGACCTTCCGAAGCCCACAGAGAACGGAGTAGAGAGCCTGCAGTGGATGCGCGTCTTGAATCTCAATTTGGCACAGATCGTAGCAGCTGTATTAGGCACATGACAAACAGCAATTCTGTAAGCATATTTTTAACCCCTTAAGGACCAAACTTCTGGAATAAAAGGGAATCATGACATTTCACACATGGCATGTGTCCTTAAGGGGTTAATCATTAATAATGCACGTTTTACTTTTCACAGACGAAGAAGTCCTCTTTTTGATGCCCACTGTGAATGCCAATAATTTGCATGGTAAATTCCAAACACAAGGACAGGGAGTTACGAAAGAGGTCTCACAGCTATCATTGGTACCGCAAGAGCGGCGTCCAGAAAGTGTACGAGAGTTACAAAGGGGGTGTACTGTCTAGTACGTCCTGCACATGAAAACCTCTCTTTTTTGATACCTATTGCTAAAAATGTATTGTTTGCCAGGCACATGTGGGGGGAGAATATATCTGTAGCATTATTTACCTGTTTCAATCTCTTTTGTATTCTGTAAGAAGATACGTGACATTATGTGACTAACCAATGTTAAGAGGAAAGAGCAAAACAGGTTTTCCTTGGTTTAACATACCCATATCTTCTCTCCTACACCTGTATCTTGTTCCCAATGCAGCTCAATGAGGAGTCTTTGCAAGGCAGGTGCTCTGGGCAATTGCTGCAACTTTAGTTCATTTTCACTGAGCTAACCAAACCAGGAAGTAACAGGACTGGTGTCTGATTGACAGCTGGGAGGGAGTCTAACAAGGTTAATTTAAAAAAAATGCTAATTTCTCTTGAAATCTGCACTTTTAGTAAAATGAAAAAATATGACACACTATTTATACATAAATCACTTCAGCAAGCTAAAGTGCTTTAGAGGTCTGGGAAAGAAACAGTCCAATAGTCTATTCCATAATTAATTATGATTTTCATCAACAAATTGCTACCTGGTGTAATTCTGTATGTCAGACACACTTGCTAGTGGATCTCTGAGACTGTCCTACAATTCAACACTGACCTCAGATGCTCCTGACGTCCCTGACGAGGCACATATGGGATAACGACTGTC